GAAGTGTTGGTCAGGTGTGTTGGCGGAGGTGTCAGTAGGGAGCGTTGGTTGAGCCGGTAGAGTGGTGTGTTGGTAAGGTATGTTGGTAGAGTGTGTTAGTAGAGCATGTTGGTAAGGTGTTTTGGTTGGGTGTGTGTTGGTAGGGTGTGTGTTTGTAAGGTTTGTTGGTAAGGTGTGCTGGTTGGGTGTGGTGGTAGGGTGTGATGGTAGGGTGTGCTGGTAAGCATGTGTTGGTAGGATGTGCTGGTAGGGTGTGACGGTAGGGTGTGTGTTGGTAGGCTGTGTTTGTAAGGTTTGTTGGTATGGTGTGCTGGTTGGGTGTGTTGGTAGGGGTGTGCTGTAGTGTGTGAATGTAGTGTGTGTTGGTAGGGTGTGATGATAGGGTGTGATGGTAGGGTGTTGGTAGGGTGTGAAGGTAGGGTGTGCTGGTAGGGTGTGTTGGTAGGGTGTGCTGGTTGTGTGTGAAGGTAGTGTGTGATGGTAGGGTGTGATGATAGGGTGTTGGTAGGGTTTAATGGTAGGGTATGTTGCTAGGGTGTGATGGTAGGGTGTTGGTAGGGTGTAATGGTATGTGTGTTGCTAGGGTGTGTTGGTAGGGTGTGTTGCTAGGGTGTGATGGTAGGGTGTAATGGTAGGGTGTGCTGCTAGGGTGTGTTGGTAGGGTGTGATGGTAGGTAGAGCTGGTAGGGTGTTATGGTAGGGTGTGTTGCTAGGGTGTGATGGTAGTGTGTGAAGGTAGTGTGTGTTGGTAGGGTGTGATGATAGGGTGCAATGGTAGGGTGTGATGGTAGGGTGTGTTGGTAGATCCTGTTGGTAGATCCTGTTGTCGGCAGAACTTTCTCGGTTAGGCCAGTGGTCAAGTTTGCTGTAGAGAGATGCGTCGAACACCTGTGATCGTGAGTTCGAATCCACTGAATATGTTACTAGTTTGTCATCACGATCCACGTGTTCGCGTATGTCGTCAAGCCTATGACCTGCATCACTCCGGTTTTTCACCCCACATTAAGCTGGTACACAGCCATATACCTATAGATACTGGTAAAAGTCAAATCGCTATCTTTTCAAAACAAACGTTTGGAGGTTCAAATTTCCTACAGAATATATGATTTCATTTCAACTGACACCATTCTAACCCTCTCATTCTCTTTATCGCGATAAATAATGAAACTAACACCGAAGGTAAGGTGACGTCTGATGAAATGAATACTCTCCCTTTTTTATACCATACTAATAAAAATTTCAAAAGCGCTGGGCAAGCTAATATTTCTGTTTGTTTCAACGGACAGATACGGCTGCAAGCTTTGTTATCGAGGTACCAAATCTCCAATCTGTCATGACAGGTGAAATTGGATTTAATTCAAGATTTGATTATACTATACAACCACGTGATAATCCTCATGCTGAACATGGATACTACACTCAGAGACAGTTCACTGACTCCGAGACGACCAGTCCTTGTTGTATCCCATTAACGTCGTCCTCCAGGCAGGGCAACAACAAGTGCCATATTTCCACGCCCTGGCGATCAAGCTACCCACCTACCGCTTTCTCTGTTACATGCCTTGGACTCCTTCGCCACAGTGACCGCCTCCGTGGTGTAGTGGTTAGAGCGTCCGCCCGGAGAGCGGAAGGTCGCGGGTTCGATCCCCGACCGCGTCATACCAAAAGACGTTTAAATATGGTACTTGTTGGTCCCTGCCTGGCGCTCGACATTAATGGGTACAGCAAAGACTGGTCGGCTCGGAGTCAGTATAATGTGTCTGACTGGGGTATTCATGCTTCACTTTGGCATGGTATCTCAGTACACCTGATCTCTGAACAGCCTTCTTTCTTGGGGACACCGAGTTCAACCTTGTTGTCCATACACCTGATCTCTGAACAGCCTTCTTTCTTGGGGACACCGAGTTCCACCTTGTTGCTCATACACATGATCTGTGAACAGCTTTCTTTCTTGGGGACACCGCGTTCCACCTTGTTGCTCATATACCTGATCTGTGAACAGCCTTCTTTCTTGGGGACACCGAGTTCCACCTTGTTGCTCATATACCTGATCTCTGAACAGCCTTCTTTCTTGGGGACACCGAGTTCCACCTTGTTGCTCATACACCTGATCTGTGAACAGCCTTCTTTCTTGGGGACACCGAGTTCCACCTTGTTGCTCATACACCTGATCTGTGAACAGCCTTCTTTCTTGGGGACACCGAGTTCCACCTTGTTGCTCATACACCTGATCTCTGAACAGCCTTCTTTCTTGGGGACACCGAGTTCCCACCTTGTTGCTCTACACCTGATCTCTTACAGCCTTCTTGTTTTTCTTGGGGACACCGAGTTCCCACCTTGTTGCTCATACACCTGATCCCTGAACAGCCTTCTTTCTTGGGGACACCGAGTTCCCTCCTTGTTGTTCATACACCTGATCCCTGAACAGCCTTCTTTCTTGGGGACACCGAGATCCTCCTTGTTGCTCATACACCTGATCTGTGAACAGCCTTCTTTCTTGGGGATACCAATCCCCTCCTTGTTGTTCAGACACCTGTTCTGTCGAAAGCCTTCTTTCTTGGGGACACCGAGTTCAACCTTGTTCATACACCTGATCTGTGGACAACCATCTTTGTTGAGGGCACCAAGTTCCACCTTGCTGTTCATAGACCTGTTCTGTGGACAACCGTTTTTGGGGACACTGAGTTCCACCTTGCTGCTCATACACCTGATCAGTGAACAACCTTCTTTCTTTGGGACACCGGGTTCCACCCTTTTATTCATACACCTGATCAATAATCAACCGTCTTTCTTTGGGACACCGGGTTCCACCCTTTTATTCATACACCTGATCAATAATCAACCGTCTTTCTTGGGGATACCGGGTTCCACCCTTTTATTCATACACCTGATCTGTGAACAACCTTCTTTCGTTGGGACACCGATCGTGAGCTCATTCTTGTTTTTCATACACCAGATCTGTGGATAACCACCTTTCTTGGGGACACCGAGTTCCTCCTTGTGTTCACCACCTGTTACTTGCTCGTTGTCATAACCTTTCCAGCGTTTAGTTCGTAATGAGTGTTGTCATTTGTGTCAGTAGAGGTTGTAGGGGTTTCAACAGAAAACATTTGTGTCGGTCTCAAACTGTACAAAATATTGATGACACCAGGCCGAAAAGGGTAGTCATGTCCTATGCCACAGATAGTACGAACCACTCACTCTATGTGCATGGAAAAGTGCAGAAAATGTTCAGTGTTTACGCACTTAATATTGTTCACTGCGACGAGAAACACGTTATCGATTACTTCTTTGAGAGGCAATAAAGAAGTTGACTATCCACAGAACTTGGTTTTCCTTCACGTTATCGATTGTTTGATATTTGACGGACCCACGCCTCGATTTTGGGTTCTCTCTTCGCCTTGTCATATGTTTATGTGAAGAGACAGAGCCCCGTTATGAACCGATCATATGGTGTAAACATGATCATGAAAACACGGCAGTTCTAAAACTGCTGCTGTGTGTACTGAAAGTTGACGACCGACATTCATTGGCGGATCCAAGTGTGTGTGTGTGTGTGTGTGTGTGTGCGTGCATGCGTGCGTGCGTGCGTGCGTGCGTTTCAGGGGGTTCGAACCCCTCCCTTTGAAAATTCCTGGACCCGCTTATGACATTTACCAATACTGTGATATAAACACATGGACACGTATGGACACAGCTACAAGAGATAAAGGGGAAAAAAAGATAAACTATACTGGCTCTTATTCAGCAATACATTTCTACTTTCATTTGTAAAATATACTTTTGATTTAAAACTTTTAACTTTTGCCCCTCAGTTAATAAGAATCGATTGCATGAACCCCTTTCATGTTTGTCATAATGAGAGAAGGATTTTACGGAGATGTTAGCATTATTCCAGAAATGGCCTTCACGCATTGCATCCATGTGGGGGAATCGAACCCGTTCCTTCCGTGTGCTTGTCGAACGCTTCCACCACTAGATTACTCCCACCGCCCCCGTTTCATAATTATATCTATGCATAAAGACACAGAGTAACAAATGACTTGCCACAAGTCTGTATTAAAGTGAGCGGATTTTCCCATTGTATCGAGCAATATTTCAGCAATTCACATTTTGTGGAATTATCGAGAATGCTCTTCGGGTTTGGGGTGGGTGTGGGTGTGGGTGTGGGTGTGGGTGTGGGTGTGGGTGTAGGTGAGGCTGTGACTTTTTTTAGCCCCTTGTTAACGCAAACCTCGGGTAACCGTTAAACATGCTTGATATTCGTTTATTCAGTTGTCAAATTTGAATCGAGAAATCTTTGCATTAATTGTCAAATGTAGTCTTGAAAAGTACCGTAAAACCAAAGAATGCTGCCTTCTGATTTGCTTACGTTGAATTACTTAGTGTCTTTTTAGTCTTTTCATTGGTCGGTCAAAATTCAAGAAAGGTCTTTCTAACAAGACATGTAATGGCATGCCCTCGGATGTTTGTGTAGCGTTCGCGTGCACCGTGATCTGAATTTATTGAGGCTGGATCAAGAGAAAGTAACACATATGTATAAAATCAGATTTCGTTTTTTGGTCTAGACATATCTGAATTAGATATATGCTTGGTGTTAATGTGATAGACATTTAGACACCGTTAGGAAAGAAACATCAAAGTGAAACTGTAGATGATGTAGATTATAATTACAACTTGATCTTTATCAAATGTCACGTTACACTTAGAGACTAGTAATACCAGGACAGTTTTAATGTCAGTGTGTGGATGTGTTCCTACTTTGATGTAGACATAAACAGATCAGGTGTATTAACAACTTGGTGGAACTTGGTGTCCCCATGAAAGATGGTTGTCCACAGAACATTTGTATGGACATGTAGTTAGAACTAGTTGTCCCCTAGAAAGAAGGTTGTCCACAGATCATGTGTATTAACAACCTGGTGGAACAAGGTGTCCCCATGAAAGATGGTTGTCCACAGAACGTTTGTATGGACATGTAGTTAGAACTAGTTGTCCCCATGAAAGAAGGTTGTCCACAGATCAGGTGTATTAACAAGGTGGAACACGGTGTCCCCATGAAAGATGGTTGTCCACAGATCAGGTGTATTAACAAGGTGGAACACGGTGTCCCCATGAAAGAAGGTTGTCCACAGATCAGGTGTATTAACAAGGTGGAACTTGGTGTCCCCAAGAAAGATGGTTGTCCACAGATCAGGTGTATTAACAAGGTGGAACACGGTGTCCCCATGAAAGAAGGTTGTCAACAGATCAGTTGTATTAACAAGGTGGAACACGGTGTCCCCATGAAAGAAGGTTGTCAACAGATCAGGTGTATTAACAAGGTGGAACACGGTGTCCCCATGAAAGATGGTTGTCCACAGATCAGGTGTATTAACAAGGTGGAACACGGTGTCCCCATGAAAGATGGTTGTTCACAGATCAGGTGTATTAACAAGGTGGAACACGGTGTCCCCATGAAAGAAGGTTGTCCACAGATCAGGTGTATTAACAAGGTGGAACTTGGTGTCCCCAAGAAAGATGGTTGTCCACAGATCAGGTGTATTAACAAGGTGGAACTTGGTGTCCCCAAGAAAGAAGGTTGTCAACAGATCAGGTGTATTAACAAGGTGGAACACGGTGTCCCCATGAAAGAAGGTTGTCCACAGATCATGTGTATTAACAAGGTGGAACACGGTGTCCCCATGAAAGAAGGTTGTCAACAGATCAGGTGTATTAACAAGGTGGAACTTGGTGTCCCCAAGAAAGATGGTTGTTCACAGATCAGGTGTATTAACAAGGTGGAACACGGTGTCCCCATGAAAGAAGGTTGTCCACAGATCAGGTGTATTAACAAGGTGGAACTTGGTGTCCCCAAGAAAGATGGTTGTCCACAGATCAGGTGTATTAACAAGGTGGAACTTGGTGTCCCCAAGAAAGAAGGTTGTCAACAGATCAGGTGTATTAACAAGGTGGAACACGGTGTCCCCATGAAAGAAGGTTGTCCACAGATCAGGTGTATTAACAAGGTGGAACACGGTGTCCCCATGAAAGAAGGTTGCCCACAGGTCAGGTGTATTAACAAGGTGGAACTTGGTGTCCCCAAGAAAGATGGTTGTCCACAGATCAGGTGTATTAACAACGAAGTGGAACACGGTGTCCCCATGAAAGAAGGCTGTCCACAGATCAGGTGTATTAACAAGGTGGAACTTGGTGTCCCCATGAAAGAAGCTTGTCCCCAGATTTTGTGTATGAACAACAAGGAGGACCTTGGCGTCCCCAACAAGGAAGGTCGTCCAGATGTATTATAAAAAATTGCCAGTCATCGCCTTTAATGATCGATTCATGTTACGCTTGTGCCCTAAAGTCAGTCATCACATACCATGATCAATTGTTGTCAGAATTGTCAGTTGTCCCCTAAATTGGTCAGTCATCACATATAATGATCGATTGCTGTTACAGTTGGCCCCTAAATTTGTCAGTCATCACATACAATGATCAATTGTTGTCAGAATTGTCAGTTGTCCCCTAAATTCAGTTATCACATACAATGATCAATTGTTGTGAGAATTGTCCCCTAAATTTGTCAGTCATCACATATAACGATCGATAGTTGTGAGAATTGTCATTTGTCTCCTAAACTTTTCAATCATCGCCTATAATGATCAATTTTTGTTACAGATGCCATATCCCCGTGAATGCCCCCATAACTTCTGTAAAGAAATTAGTTACTGACTTCTGCAATATCGCAGCACAACGTTAAGACCAGATTCTTTCAGTGTGCAAGTGACAATGGCTCCTTTCTCAGTGTGGAAAGTTAGCGTTGTCATTCAGGCGACATGGGATAAGATTTCAACTTTCCAGTCACCACATATCATGACATTCACGTCTTCATTACTGTCTTGGGTAACCGGATGTCTGATGGATTTGTCTTTAATCTGTAATATCGTAAAGGTAATAGGTTTTATATACCACCATTTAACATCTATGTAAAATGTCTGTCATCAGAAAACCCACTCCCGTTTCCCAGTTCAGAGATGTTCTTTCTTCTATTTGCCCTGAAGATTTATTCAGCGTGTTTGTTTCCAAACTATTGTAAAACATAGTGAGTGAGTGAGTTTAGTTTTACGCCGCACTCAGCAATATTCCAGCTATATGGAAGCGGTCTGTAAATAATCGAGTCCGGACCAGACAATCCAGTGATCAACAGCATGAGCATCGATCTGCGCAATTGGGAACCGATGACATGTGTCAACCAAGTCAGCGAGCCTGACCACCCGATCCCGTTAGTCGCCTCTTACGACAAGCATAGTCGCCTTTTGTGGCAAGCATGGGTTGCTGAAGACCTATTCTACCCCGGATCTTCACGGGTCTTGTAAAACATAGATCAGGGTGAGAACGTCACAATTTACATAGCATCGGCAACAAACGAGAGAGAGACACACACACTCACACACATACATTCAGTTAAGTGTTATAAATCTACTGCATTTGGATAGAAATAATATAGTCTTAATTTTCTTTATTATTTGAATATTAAACTGAAGCAATAACGCCTCCATATAATTTCTTACAAACAGATTCGCCAAACATCTAATTATCCTATCCACGTAACCTGGGGTAACCATTTAAATCAGTCACTTCATTGCACAAATATAGCAGTTTGCTAGCTCCGAAACGGACAAGCTCTTGCAGTGATAGTTATGTTGTACAGGCGCAATTGCCTCTTCGTTATTGGTGTAACTAATACCTGTCAGGTATTTGAGCGATTTGAGACATCCAATAAATGTCAGGATGTACATTAATAACTGAACGGCCTGGCAAAAGAAAAATACACTGAAAATCACATTTCAATCAGCTCATTAGCATATACTATGAATTGTGTCCCTTTCGGATATCACGTCACCTCTTGTGAAATATCTGACTGACTGAGTTTGGTTTTACGCCGCTTTTAGCAATATTCCAGCAACATCACGGCGGGGAACACCAGAAATGGGCTTCACACATTGTACCCATGTAGGGATTCGAACCCGGGTCTTCGGCGTGACGAGCCAACACTTTAACCACTAGGCTACCCCACCGCCCCCTTGTGAAATAACAAATGATAGCCTAATGGTAAAAGCGATAGCTTGGCACGCCAAAGTCCCGGGTTCGATTCGCCACATGGGTACAATGTGTGAAGCCTATTTCCGGTGTCCCCCGCCGTGATATTGCTGGAATATTGCTAAAGGCGGCGTAAAACTAAACTCACTCACCGCCAATTGATATGATGTATATAGTATCGCCGATGACATTCGTATAAAACGAAAATAAAATAAAACCCGTTTCTTGTTCGTTTCATTAATCACACCAGAGACCATTTATTATAATATGGTCTCTGACCACACTAAATCATGCAGTTTATAAATTCGTTGGTTTCACATTATTTTTCAACTCGCTGTGCGCTGTATAAGGAGCAGTTGTATTGCAAAGTTTCAGGGGAAAGAGGTCAATGCAGCTAAGGCGATGCTTAAATATCTAATTAGTATGTAACTGCGTGGCAAACGTAATTGTGTATTCATGTTCAAATAAGACCTCTTTCACATGACAGAAATACATCTACTTTCTTGTGGACACATGATATGTATTAAATCCAATTGTACTTTATTGCCTCATAGCCGCCCTGACAATCAAAATGCCAGATTATGGGAAACTGTAATCAAGTTCTGAAATTCTTAAAAAAATTGAAAATTCCAACCCACCAAAGTTATTCTAAACGAAAAGCATTGCTGACGTGTCCTGCAACAGAACGTTTATCAATCACAACCTTTTAAAATCTTTGTTGCGCGTGTGTCATAATTTTGGCACATGTTAATTTGCCAGTTGGAGTGAGTGAGTGAGTTCAGTTTTACGCCACACTCAGCAATATTCCAGCTATATGGCGGCCGTCTGTAAATAATCGAGTCTGGACCAGACAATCCAGTGATCAACAGCATGAGCATCAATCTGCGCAATTGGGAACCGATGACATGTGTCAACCAAGTCAGCGAGCCTGACCACCCGATCCCGTTAGTCGCCTCTTACGACATACATAGTCGCCTTTTGTGACAAGCATGGGAAGACCTATTCTACCCCGGATCTTCACGGGTTTTGCCAGTTGGAAGGAATAGCTGTGGCGACTTTAGAAGAGCAACATGGAACCGTTGTTGTTAATATGGAACTCGGTTACTTGTAGATTACACAGCAGTTACCTGTAGATTACACAGCAGTTACCTGTAGATTACACAGCAGTTACCTGTAGATTACACAGCAGTTACCTGTAGATTACACAGCAGTTACCTGTAGATTACACAGCAGTTACCTGTAGATTACACAGCAGTTACCTGTAGATTACACAGCGTTAAATTGTACGTGGAATGAAATACGCAGCTACGGGCAACATCACTGTCATCATGTTTTCTGAAATATACACATGAATAAAAGTGTCGCAATACGTATGATTTTTAACCCCTAAATAGCTTTGTATTGTAATTATGTTTGTGTAATTATTTTGACCCTTAAGCTGCACCGTACATTGATTTTAGATATGCACGTGCTTCGATCAAAGGCAAGCATAACGTGCAATACGTATTCCCGTTATTAAGCAGGTTTTAATTAACTGTTCTTGTAGCTGGCCATGGATAATTTGAAAATCAATTTATGTCGTTGTTGATAACCAAATATGGGGCCTATTAAACTGACAACTACTCAATGATGGCAAGATATTGGTATGATATGCTGGTATGTCATTGAGGACCATTGCAAGAGATATTGGATATCATCCATTGACTAATTTATCAGCCGACAAGCCAGAAAACAAATTATTGACGTTAAAGGCACTATATCACACCATACTTGATAATAAATGCACTTTTCTCAGTAACACTAACTATCGGCCCTCAGGGATGCTTCCATATAGTTTATTCAAAAAAGAATTACGTATGTAGATTACATACAGGATATTTTGTTGATGTTATCAAATAACATGTATATTTCATCGAGTGGTCTGAAAAGGCGCAGCCTCTCGTGAACATATCAACTTTGTCAGACCACTCGGTGAAATATACATGTTATTTGACAACATTAACAAAATATTATATTTATTATTTTTGATCATTGTTTATAAATGATCGAGACATCGAGTCATTTTAATCAGAAAGTAGTTCCAGGCAGAAGTGATATTCTACTTAGTGAAATAACATGTTATTCTACTCAGTGAAAATACCATTTTTATTTTCACCAATATTTGCAGTATTTCACCCTTAAGAATATAATAAAATATTATGCTACAAAATTCGAATGAATTAATGCAACGTTGCATTAAACCAACTCTCGCGCCCTCTACCGGCCGAACAGTATTTCAATCGAACACCATAGAGTTATGTCCGTTGTACTCTTTACAAATATCCTAGGCACAACATGAGAATTGTGTTCCAGAATCTTGAAGATGACTGCACTTCTGAACATCAAACGACCATCAGCACTACAGATTGATTCAGACTATTGTTGCCGTGTTTGTTTCTCATTTTTCGTTCTTATCGAGTTTAGATTTGCCAATTATTTATCCCCTGTGTTCAATTTATCATGATAGTAAGTTAAATTGAGATTTGTATAAGTTCCTTTGATACGGTTAATAGTACTATACTGATACTATGAAAATATAAAGCGTTGCGATACTTTGTTCCATGTGTATAGAAACAATGCCCACAGTGTCGTAACAAATACACCGAGTGAACAATCATGTGAAATTAAATGGAAGTCTTTTAGAAACCATTAAAAAAAAAAAAAGTTTTAAAACTAGTTTTACAGATTTGGAAACATGATCCGATACTCTCTTCGGATTGTCTTATTCGTTAGATTTGATACTATAAATTTGATCCTTCACAAAAAACAACATAAAATACTTATAAAATTATCTTCCAGGTTGATCATACGTCAATGTAAATTGATTGCGGATAGAAATGATACTTTGTCTTGATTAAATTTGCCAGCACAACATATCATGCCGTCTCAGTTTCATGTTGTGTTTTAACGTCAAGTGTACCTGAAAAAGTACATTTCTGTATTAAAATTGCTTAAAATGCGAGTACTTAAATGTTAAATGATCTCGGGATTGTTGTGTTAAATATCAGCCCTGTGCTCTTGTTTCATCTTTAAGTAAATAATGTTATCAAGTACAAAAACATTTTCAACTTTTTTGGGCGAAATGACTTAGTATTAGTACGTTTCACCTTCGTAGGGTAAAACCAGTCATGTGTTTGCATTTCTGAGTTGTGTCCCTTGGTTACCGACT